TGTTTTATGATTTGTAGGTTAAGTAGTTAAATCATTCGTTCTTGTGATAAGTTGTTTGAATAAATTGAAAAAACACAAAACAATGCAGTTTTGTAGTTATTATTATTATATAAAGTAAAATAAAACTCAACCTTTTTTAATTGTTTAACTATTTTCTGCAATTATCAATAAAATGTCATCTAAAAAAAAAACAGCCGGAGGCTGTACATTGGCTTAGCTTTCCATTGACTCCCGTCAAGTTGGGGGTTGATACGTATTTTTACAGAAAAGTTACACTATTATAAGCACACACACAAAGTTAAAACATGCGGAAACGCGTAATTTTTGAGAAAAAAGTTATTGAAAATCAATTATTCTTGCATTGTTTAGAATAGAATAGAATAGAATAGAATGATTTTTATTCAATATGGATTATTACATAATACTTATTGAAAGTCATTATTTTATTTACCACTGGTTCGGAAAATACCTCTGTCCTGGGAAGAACCAGCAAGAAACCCAGCGGGACTTTTTTTTTAAACATAATTTCACTTAACAATAATTTTGTTTATACAATTTTAAACGAATTTTCATAGAACCAGCATGGTGGCGATCACCTTATTCCCAGGGGTTATTTTCATTCATGTATTCCTTGATATTATAATAACCCTTTTTGTACAGTTTTTCTTTAATAAAACTTTTAAACTTGTTTATTGACAAACTTTGAACATGTTCTGGGATTCTGTTGTAAAAGCGTATACATTGCCCCATAAATGAATTACTAATTCTGTGGAGTCTTGTAAGTGGCATTACAAGCTTATGTTTGTTCCTAGTGTTTAAGGTATGAACATCCTTATTCTTATTAAAGCTATTTATGTTTTTATGTACATAGATTACATTTTCATAAATATATTGCGATGCCAAAGTTAATATGTTTATTTCTTTAAATTTTTCTCTAAGGGAATATTTACAATTTAGATTATAAATCGCCCGTACGGCTCTCTTTTGCAAAACAAATATAGCTTCAATATCAGTCGCATTACCCCATAGCAAAATTCCATAAGACATTACGCTATGAAAGTAACTAAAATACACTAACCTAGCTGTCTCAACATCTGTGAGACTTCTAATCTTTCTTACAGCATATGCTGCAGAACTAAGTCTGCTTGCTAATTTAGATATATGGGGGCCCCATTGAAGTTTCGCGTCAATAGTAATACCGAGAAAAACAGTGGTATCCACAAGACTCAACTCCTCCCCATTTAAGAGCACATTGGTTTTCGAATGTTTTACATTAGGTATTGTAAATTTAATACATTTTGTCTTATTGCCGTTTAAGAGCAAATTGTTGACGTTAAACCAATGTACTAGTTTCGATAGAGCATTATTTACATCGTCATATTTAATTGACTGCCGTTTCAGTTTGAAAATAAAAGAGGTATCGTCAGCAAATAATACTATATCGTGATTGTCCCCTACAAGATAAGGTAAGTCATTAATATAGATTAAGAACAGGAATGGGCCAAGAATCGAGCCCTGAGGAATGCCCATTGATACTACTGATCCGGAGGAACATTTACCATTAATGACGACTTTTTGAGTTCTGTTACTTAAATATGAAGTAATAAGTTTAAGCGCCAAATTTTTTACACCGTAATGTTGTAGTTTCCTGATTAATGTATCATGATGAACACAATCGAAAGCCTTGGAAAGGTCACAGAAAATACCTAAGGCATCTTGTGAATTCTCCCAGGCATTAAAAATATATTTCATAAGCTCAACACCGGCGTCAGTCGTCGAGCGACCCCTTGTAAAACCAAATTGATTTTTATGAAGTAATTTATTTGTATTAAAAAAAATTAACAATTGATCCAAAATTATTTTTTCAAAAATTTTACTGAGAGTTGGTAGTACAGAAATAGGTCTATAATTAGAGGGGTCCAATGTACTACCAGATTTAAATAAAGGTATTACTTTACTATACTTCATTAAATCAGGAAACACACCAGAATCGATACAAGTATTAAAAATAATAGCAAGATGAGGTGCAATTAAATCTATTATGGACGCAATCACTGTAACGGAAATCCCCCACAAATCTGCGGTTTTCTTTACATCAATGGTTTTGAAGTATTTTACAATATTATGCGGTAATACTTTTTCAAATCTAAATTCTTTTAAACAGGTTTTAACATTCTGTTTAAGTAATGATTCGGCGACAGTTGGAGAAGCATTCAATGACTCTGTTGTCAAGATAGGAACATCAGTAAAATATTTCTCAAACACCGCTGCAACTTCTTGATTTGATTTAGTCAATTTATTATTAATTTTTAATTGATAGTTTGAATTACGAGGTTTCTCTTTACCGGTTTCGCTGTTAATTATACTCCACGTCATTTTAATTTTATTCTTAGCTGTCTTAATTTTGTTACTAATATGTAATGATTTGGCTGTGGAGCAAACTCTTTTAAACATTTTAGAATAATTTTTTACATATTCTTTAAAAGCATCGGAAAGATTATACGATCTTTCATGGTAAAGGTCATATAACCTTCGTCTGCTTTTATGAATTCCTACTGTCGCCCACTCATTAAATGCCTTGCGACTGTTTCTGGAGAATGTTTTAGAAGTGAATGTTTTATTAAATTCATTGTTTATAAAGGTAAATAATTCTCTATATAAATAGTCTGCATTGTTCTTATAAGAAAGGGATGGAAGGATTTTTAACATATTACTTCTAAATCTCTCCAGGCGTTTTGTATTAATAGGAACAAACACAATTTTCTCATTTACCTGTTTTTTGTGCATATAAGGTAACGAAACCAGTTGTCCACAGTGATCTGAATCTGTTTATATCTAATCCTACCATAAATAAGACGCCATTTTATAATGTCATTGTCGTCAGTAGGGATGTCGATTCTTTCCGAAAAAGGTCGATTTTTTAAATAAATTCGAATTGTAAGCAAACAAAAATAAAAAAGAAAACAGCTACAATGCCAAGTGCGCATGCCGCATGACAAGCTGAAACTTGAAGTTACCAAGTTAAGTCTCCTTCGGAATATGCAATGATCAATAACCTTACATTCAGTCGTGTTGGATAATATTCAAATGATTTTTGATTTAATGACATAGCCTATTCGATCGTTTTCTAAATATATTTTTTTATTCAATATTAATAACTAAGATTCGAGTCAATGTTTCAATATTATGATTTTTTTTTGGTAAGAAGGTTATTTTATTATAAAAATAGCCTTCATTATCTATTTCCCTAGACAGAACAGAAAAATATTTAAAAACGTTTCGTTTTAGCTAAAGCAAAAGCATTGGCTTTCTATTTCAGTTTTAAAAAATGTTTTTATGACTGTCCCAACGACTACAGAAATAAAAACCATTTATTTATGCTTATAATTTATCGTTATGTTACCTACATATTTTTGTATAACTGTTACGAACGATGTCAACAACCCAATTTCATACATCTCCTTTGGAATACAATTATTGTTTAGTATATAAATGAGGAAAAAATAAAATATTTTGCAATTTCGATCCAGTTTTCGAGATACACCGACTGCATAAATATCTTTTTAATCCTATATAAATATATAGGATTACAACGTTACATGTTACAGCAACATGTACATATGTATAATATAACGGAATAACTATCTACAAAAGGAAATTAGATGCGATCAAAAACATAACTTGTAAAAAAAAAACCAAGCCTCGTAACTCAGTTGTTCTAGCGTAAAAAGTTGTGAGATCCATGTAATAGCAAGTCAGTTAATTTATTCAGTCCTTACTTAAGGATCCTTCTATCTTAAGTTATTACGTAATTAGCTAACCTAACAACATCTTATAGTGACCACATCAATACTAAAAATCTTTTATATTATAAATAAATAGATTGACTTGGCCATCGTATGAAAACACAATGTATCACTCAAGTAATACATATTAAGTATATTAAATTAGATTGTTTAGTTCATAAACAGACAGACAGACAGACGGATCGACAGACAATTCTAAAAATGATAGAAATTTATTTTATTATACTTATTTTAGTCCCACTCAATCATTTTGTCACTAAAGCATATAATATAAAAATATCTTCAATTCAATTTTTATCACAATATCTATAGATTACAATATCTTTGTGTGAGTAATTGTCATAGCATAATTTATTTATGATAATGTAAAAAACATCGTATCGAATACATGTACGAGTATCGAAACGTACGATAAATAAGCGACACCTTACCTGACTTCACAATATACTGAATTGACGTCACACCTTACAGTGGTTACAGTGTATATTATGTAAGATTCATTCGAAAGTTTTATTCGAAACATTTTTAGTATTTAACCGCTACCGTCTTAAAATTATGCTTACTTATACATTAAGAGCTCCAATTAAATACTTATTATATACAACGATAGCAATTATCTCATCAGCAGACGGATTATAAAAAGGTGGGAAATTATCGTGAATGGCTTTGAATTATCATAACAACGAGGTCGCATACTCAACACTGCTAAAGTCAATGCTAATAGTTGTCGTACCGTCGCTGTTTCACAGACAGAAAATTTTACGTTCTCGCGTCACATTTTAAACTATATTTTTATATTGCTTTAAAATAGGTAAAGTTGACAGTAACATTACAATTATTGTGGATAAATACAATACGTTCCTATCGCTTAATTTAATTACTATGCTTTTTAATTACCCGGTCGACATGACCTTCCTTTGGCGTAATTCTTTACCTACATGTTATCAGTGATAGTCGACTCGTTCGGCGGGCCGTAGTAAAGTAGTTATTGTTTACGATTAAAGTATAGGATTACATCAAGAGGTATGTTTTATATTATAATTTCGCTTTAGTTCCTGGAATAGTTAAAAAAATTATAACAGTTTCATTAGAGGTTCCTTACTAGCTGCGACTTCGGTTGTTAAAGCACTTAAATATTAGTATAAAAGAGTACTTAAGTTGTTTTTTGTTTCAGATCAATCCAATACATAAATAATGACAATAAGAGAACTACCTGCCATCCTTCAGGAAAAGGCTAAAAAAGAAATTAATGAAAATCCACGGAGAGTGATGTCTGATATTTCAGCAATAAGGACATGGCTTCAAAAACAGTCCCACTTGCATTCTGTAAATCCATGTAAGACTTATGGCATATAGTTTTGTGATAAGTAGGTAAAACAAATAGAGTAAATAGGTATAATTTGTATTTTAATGTAGGTACTATAAAATTTTAATCCATTTAATTTGAATCTGAATTTACTTAAATGTTTAGGATACTAAATTATTTATTTAATTTTTATTGGTCCTGACAGTTCAATGCAATTTTATTGCTATATCCTCTCAAAAGGTGCGTAGATTGATTTTTATCTCTATAGCTATTTTCATTTTTATAAAAATCGAGATTCTAATATATTTATAGATGTAGAAAGATATCTCCACCCTAATTTTGCCCGCAGTACAGACATACCTCCAAGATTAATATGTTTTTGTAAATAGGTACATCTAGTGTACCCTATTTACAAATACAATGCACTGTAGCGACATCTAAACTATTTTTTATTAACTAAAATCTGGACAAATGTTCTGTATTTACATTTTACATAAAATCAACTCTTTGTTTTGATCTAGTTTGTGCTTCAATATACAGATGGCACTATTCGTAACTCGTGTCGCATTTGTAAAATTTAATGTGATAATGTGGTAATATGATGTATCATGAACATTGTGTTATGTCAATATAAAGTTCATTATTTTATGATATCGCGAAAGGCAATTTCGTATGATGGTTTGGTTTGGGCAAAGGCGGCTCCGAAATTTAGAAATTTAATATTTTTAAAACATCTTTGATTTTGCTTGAATATAGCGGAAGGAAGCGACACTTGTTCTGTGTCGCTATCAAGCCGTCAAATATGTATGATATTATATATACAATATTATTACACAGATGATTCAAAAACTTTAAATATGAAATATTATATATATTTCTATATAACTATATATTATGTACGATACGTATATTAGAATGTTTTACATCGTACCACTTCTCTTTCCCTTATTCTATAAAAAATAGAAATGGTTCTTCCATTTCTATTTTTTATAGAATAAGAGTGACATATAAATCGCGTGGTAAATCAGCACTTAAAATTACAATCAACAATTACTTTGATGCCGGCTAGGCAAGCGCTTACTTCAGTAGTATGAGTGGTTTTTTTTTACAGCGGACCAATGGTTAGTTGCATTTCTGCGTGGAAGCAAGTTTAGTCTCGAAAGATGTAAGGAAAAGTTAGACATGTATTACACGTTGAGGACAATCGTTCCAGAATTTCTTTCGAACAGAGATCCACTTAATCCAAGAATACAAGGAATATTAAAACTAGGGTAAACGAGCATTATTGTATTTCATTGGGATATGCCATATTCTCATTAGAGTAGAAGGTCTTGGTATATATATTTATTTATTTCATCCACAGAGTGTTTTTGCCATTGCAAAAGTGTTCAGAGATAGATTCGCCAAGGATATGCATTGTGCGCGTGGGTGCGTTTGACCCTACCAAGTACAGCTTATCAGATCTTATCAAAGTAGCATTCATGATTAGGTACCGAAATTATGATGTTCGAGGATGATAACTTCACCGTTTCCGGAGAGGTATTTAAATTTTATATATGTAATATCTGTGTTAATATACGGGGTGGACAGTGCTGCTGTATATGACTGTAGCGAGAATGGGTCGGCTCGACCGGAGAAGGACCATGCTAACAGAATACCAACGTAAAATCAACATACCGTTGCTGTGTTTCGGATGGTGAGAGTATTTTAACATCAGCATCATTCCATCTCCGTCATCAGGAATGACAATGCATCTGCATTTCGATTCCTAATCGAGGATAGATGTAAGTGTCTATTGTCTATGAGTCGTAGCATCTACTTACCATCAGGTCCACTGTGTGATCATTTGTATTTATTTGTATAAATATTAATATATCCATTAAAAACTGAATTTTTTTTTTCTTACCACCACTTACCACCAGGTGGGATTGTGGTCAAGCACTGGCTTACAATAAGTAAAAAAAAAAAGACTAGGTAGATTTATCGTTAGGAATAAGCATTATGTGCGGTGGTTGTGATCTTTGTAAGAAAAAACCAATCAGTAGTATTTCATAATAACCTTAGAAGTTTTATTCGAGGCCCTATAATGTTTCTTACTCAAAATAATTTAATGTGATAATGTGGTAACATGATGTATCATGAACATTGTGTTATGTCAATATAAAGTTCATTATTTTTTTTTTATAGGAGAGTCGGCAAACGAGCATGCGGCTCACCTGATGGTAAGTGACTACCGCCGCCCATGAACAACTGCAACACCAGGGAGGGAATTGCAGATGCGTTGCCGGCCTTTTAAAAAGGAGTACGCTCTTTTCTTGAAGGTCCCTAAGTCGTATCGGTCCGGAAAAATCGCTGATGGTAATCGATTCCACAAGGAAGTCGTGCGAGGAAGAAAACATCTTCTAAATCGCACAGTGGTGGACCGCCAATCATCCAGATGGTGTGGATGGTATCGGGAGTTCTGCCGCGATGTGCGTTTGTGAAATTTGGCGGCTGGGATTAATCCGAACAATTCCTCAGAGCACTCCCCATGGTAGATGCGAAAGAAAATGCAAAGAGATGCAACATCTCTTCGCAGTGTCAATGAGTCGAGCCGATCGGAAAGGACTCGGTTGTCGACGATTCGAGCCGCTCTGCGCTGGATGCGGTCAAGTGGAAGGAGCTGGCACTGGGGAGCCCCTGCCCAGAGATGGGAACAGTATTCCATGTGAGGCCGAACCTGCGCCTTGTAAAGTTGCAGGCGGTGTGCCGGCATGAAATACTGTCCCGCTCTGCTGAGCACGCCAAGCTTTTTAGAGGCCAATTTGGCCTTCTCTTCCAAGTGACCACGAAACTGCACGTCACTCGATATGTCGACTTCGAGGATACCGATACTGGCTGAGGCAAGAAGGGGAGTGCCTTGAAACTGAGGAGATACGACAAAGGGGTTTATGATATCGTGAAATGCAATTTTGTATGATGGTTTGGTTTGGGCAAAGGCGGCTCTGAAATTTAGAAATATTTTGCTTGAATATATAAAAAACTATTGCATGCCTTTAGCGCAAAGCGCGTAGGTATGTTCTACTATCACCTAAAGATCAAGATTCCAACGTTTTGTCGCATGAAATCGTATCTAACAATCATATTCAACATTTATGTAAATGATTTAAAAAGCACATTGTCAGAAAGATAATGAATTATAATTTTTTTTTAAATTCATTAATTGCTATTTTTTTTTTGCTATTTTTACATAAAAAAGGGGTTTTAGTGGCTTATGGTGTGGATTTATCAAGTCCGCCTCGACTAAACACGATAACTTTTGAAAATATCAATTGTTTAACTCAATCTATTTTTTAATCTTTTCATCTATCATATGGAATGTAAATGGCAGTTTAATTTTGTTTTGTTTAGTAATAATAAATTTTTTTCGGCTGAGTAATGCCGAAATTTTCGGTGTTTTGAGCAGCCTTGTAATAATTTATTTTACTAAATACACTTTGTCTCACAGCTCACTCGCACTTCGCTTCGGGCTCGGCCGCCGTCGTGAGTGGATTACTGTATCGTTTGCTTACAGCAGCGGTAATAGGCAGCAAAAATATTGATTGCTGTAGAAATACAAAATATTCCAAAAAACAAATTTGATACATACTTGACCAAGGTTATTACTTTTATAATCACAGATTTTATTGTAATATTTTGTTTGGCTAAAAGTAACTAGGGTTTATCTAGACGTATAAGTATATTTATATAAAATATACTTATACGTCTTGGACTTTATGGAGTAACCTCAAAGTGTTCTTCGGTATCTGCTATTCGAAATCCTCGACGAGTAGAACTAGGTGTGCCGAGATTGTGCTCATTATGTTATATATAACGAGACCTTACTCCCAGACTTAACGGAGTGACCGGAAGGTGTACTTCTGTGAATGCTATTGGAACTCCTCGAAGAGTAGAACTAGGTGTGACGAGTTTGGTTTCGTTTTGTTAGATATGATGAGACCTTTCCTTCGGACTTGATAGAGTGACCTGAAGGTGTACTTCAGTGAATGCTCCTAGAGCTCCTTGAAGAGTTAGAACTAGGTGTGCCGAGTTTGGCCTCGTTTTGTTAGTTATGATGAGACCTTACCTCCAGACTTGATAGAATGACCTGAAGGTGTACTTCAGTGAATGCTCCTGGAGCTCCTCGAAGAGTTAGAACTAGGTATGCCGAGTTTGGCCTCGTTTTGTTAGTTACGACGAGACCTTACCTCCAGACTCGATAGAGTGCTCTGAAGGTGTACTTCAGTGAATGCTCCTGGATTTCCTCAAAGAGTTAGAACTAGGTATGCCGAGTTTGGCCTCGTTTTGTTAGTTATGACGAGACCTTACCTCCAGACTTGATAGAGTGCCCTGAAGGTGTACTTCATTGAATGCTACTGGAGCTCCTCGAAGAGTTAGAACTAGGTATGCCGAGTTTGACCTCGTTTTGTTAGTTATGACGAGACCTTACCTCCAGACTTGATAGAATGACCTGAAGGTTCACTTCAGTGAATGCTCCTGGAGCCCCTCAAAGAGTTAGAACTAGGCGTGCCGAGTTTGGCCTCGTTTTGTTAGTTATGATGAGACCTTACCGCCAGACTTGATAGAGTGACCTGAAGGTGTACTTCAGTGAATGCTCCTGGATTTCCTCAAAAAGTTAGAACTAGGTATGCCGAGTTTGGCCTCGTTTTGTTAGTCACGACGAGACCTTACCTCCAGACTCGATAGAGTGCCCTGAAGGTGTACTTCATTGGATGCTATTGGAGATCCTCGAAGAGTAGAACTAGGTATGCCTAGTTTGGCCTCGTTTTGTTATTTATGATGAGACCTTACCTCCAGACTTGATAGAGTGCCCTGAAGGTGTACTTCATTGAATGGTACTGGAACTCCTCGAAGAGTAGAACTAGGTGTGCCGAGTTTGGCCTCGTTTTGTTAGTTATAATGAGACCTTACCTCCAGACTCGATAGAGTGCCCTGAAGGTGTACTTCATTTAATGCTACTGGAGCTCCTCGAAGAGTTAGAACTAGGTATGCCGAGTTTGACCTCGTTTTGTTAGTTATGACGAGACTTTACCTCCAGACTTGATAGAATTACCTGAAGGTTCACTTCAGTGAATGCTCCTGGAGCCCCTCAAAGAGTTAGAACTAGGTGTGCCGAGTTTGGCCTCGTTTTGTTAGTTATGATGAGACCTTACCGCCAGACTTGATAGAGTGCCTTGAAGGTGTACTTCATTGAATGGTACTGGAACTCCTCGAAGAGTAGAACTAGGTGTGCCGCGTTTGGCCTCGTTTTGTTAGTTATAATGAGACCTTACCTCCAGACTCGATAGAGTGCCCTGAAGGTGTACTTCATTGAATGCTATTGGAGCTCCTCGAAGAGTAGAACTAGGTGTGCCGAGTTTGGCCTCGTTTTGTTAGTTATGATGAGACCTTACCTCCAGACTTGATAGAGTGCCCTGAAGGTGTACTTCATTGAATGGTACTGGAACTCCACGAAGAGTAGAACTAGGTGTGCCGAGTTTGGCCTCGTTTTGTTAGTAATGATGAGACCTTACCTCCAGACTTGATAGAGTGACCTGAAAGTATACTTCGGCGAATGCTACTGGAACTCCTCGAAGAGTAGCAGTAAGTGTGTCGAGTTTGGCCTTGTTTTGTTAGTTATGTACATACATTACCTCCGGACTTGATGGAGTGACTTGAAGGTGTACATCGGTGACTGCTGCTGGAACTCTTTGACGAATAGAATTACAATTTACAATTGTTTTTAATTTTTTCACTATCTTATGAGTCATGTAATTTTTTAAATTGTAGCTTAAGCTAAAGCTTTTTTTTAAATTGAAATTTGACATAAAATTATCGGAAAATTGGATATAGTTATTAGTTTTTTTAGTCAAAACTTGTGTCTAATTAAACTACTTTTAAAATTTACGTAAGTATTATCATGTTATACGTAATTATTTACTTCAAAATCTTCTAGGCATTTCGAAAAAAAAAAAACGAGAGTTATGGATTGCCTTAGGCTAGTACCGCACAGAGTAAGTTACTATTAAAGCAATTGCAATCAAATATACCTACACCAATTCACATTGAAACAATCATTTACAAAGACGTTTGGTGAAATGAATGTGAAATGTATAAAGTAATATTTTTTATTTCTCTGCAGGAGGTAATTGTTGATATGAAAAATGTGGGTGTAAACGTGCTTAGCCAGTGGACCCCAGCCTTGGCTAAGAAGGTGATCACTTGCTTTGAGAAGGCGCTTCCTGTGCGATTGAAGAGTAACCATATCTTGAACACACCAATTGGCTTTGACACGGCATATTCAATTTTTAAGGCATTCCTCGGCGAGAAGTTGAAAAAAAGAGTATGTCTTTGTTTAATAAGTATAAGTGAATACCATGGTGTCCATATCCATTGCTAATCATACAGACCATGATGGACCTTCGCCACATTTGAATAATGCACGTTTTAATAATACTGAAAGAAAGAAATGCGTTTATTCCATTTTAAGCATGCAGCACAACATGCAAAAAGTAATCCTATGCAAAAGATAAATAAAACGAAATATTTACCACCATTATAAATTTAAGAAAATACACTTAAAAAACATCCTGTGCTGTAGGATGAAACTGTGGACCGGTCTCAGCGATAGCATTGGTTTTCAGGCCGGCCCATATCCCGGGGCTCCTCATTGTACGCTCGCTTTTGATGTCAGAAAATTATATATATATATATGTGTGATATATGTGTGACGGTATAGGGATATCCTTCGTCTCGGTGCTGCACATATGTTCGAGTTGCAACTAAGCGTCTGTCTGCCCAATTTTAGAAATTCCGTGGAACTTAAAAAGCTTACGACCGTCCTGCTGACTAACGGACGAGAACCTGACATTCTATCATTTTCACTATCACTACAGTCCATCAAAGTCCACTTGAACATAAGCCTCCCCTATAGATTGCCACGAAGTACAATCCTGAACCAACATACAACAACTACCTATACGTGTCTCATCAGGTCGTCACTCCATCTAGTGGGGATCACCTAACACTGCGTTTATCAGTAAGAGGAGTTACTCGAGAACCTTTCTTCTCCCATTTCGATCCTTAAGCAATATGGCTGGCCCGTTGCCACATCGTAGCGAGGATAGTCCCCAAAACAAGAATAGTGATACAGTCCAGCAGATCAATAAATTAGGAAATTTACAAATATCCATTGCTGAACCTTAATTTTGCAGACTGTTGAGTGGCAGTGGACTTAAAAAGGCCGGTAGTGATGATGATATCTATAAAAAGGGGATAATTATTCATGTTAATGCAAAAAATAAATTACTTAGAATACATTAGCAAGGTCGTTCTTAGTCAAGCAATCTTGTGTGTTCACTTATGCAAATACGAGAGTGTGGTTTCATTAACCCGTAAACGCTGTAAGGGGAAAAATCCCATTGCCCCTTATTCGTCTAACACAAGAGCAGTTATTTCTTGTATTGATTTAATCTACGTTATTATCTACTTGTAATCTTAAATTGTAATGTTTTGTATAGCTTCGATGAATGTTCTAGGAATTTCAAAATCGCTTGTTATAAATAATTTTCGAAATCAGAACCACGTAAGGTATTACAATGAAACGCAGGAATAAAATAAGTTTTCAATATTACATTTTAACATTCAATATCACATATGATTTTTTTTTAATAGAAATATGTAACCTCAAATCAGAATCATATACTAATTCGTGCAGTATTTAAAAGATAATCCCATATTCTAATTAGCCTAATCCTTTATATTTTATATTTATATTATTTCAATAAATAGTATAAAAAAGATTATAAAAATAGTCACCTTTCATTGTAGATCAAAGTTCATAATCAGAATTATGCTGCGTTGTATAAGGAAATACCAAAACGAGTGCTGCCCAAAGAATATGACGGTGAAGATGGAGGATTGCAAGAACTTACAGGTATTTAATAAAAAAGGGGTATCGTGTGTTACCGCATGAATTATTTTAATAAAAGGTAGTGGTGGTGGCTCGTGGTGGATCATCGATGATTTAGGTGACTTTAAAATCGTGCCTAATTGCAGTCAGTCCCTGGAAAGCTTAGTGTTTGCAATGAACTTTAGCAAATCTTGAAATTTGTGTAATATATCAGACATAATCCATGTGACAACCATTTACATAAATTTTCGATCTGACTAATAAATTTTCCGGTTAATAACAGTACTTCGCAGAGGTTTCTTGGTTTCTAGACATGGAATCATAGATCATCAAATAAAATTGAATTTTCATGGAATGTAATTTCTGACATCATTGTTTCGTGTAGATATATATTTTACTTATAATGTGAGCTTTTGGAATTTGATTAAATTTATTATAACCTGATCTAAATTAACTTATTTTTAGATTATTGGCAGGCGAAAGTCGAGAGTTATCGTAATTGGTTCCTTCAAGAAGAAACAGTCAAATCAGACGAGTCTAAAAGACCCGACAAGCCGAAAAGCACTTCCAGCCTATTTGGTATTGAGGGCTCTTTCCGAAAACTCGATGTCGATTAAAGTGTAATTTAATAAAATCGTTTCTATTAGACATTGCATACTTTTAATACAACTTGTATTGTACTTGTTCTTGTTGTTGTTGTTGCATTAATTAAGAAGTTAATATATTATTTACTTGTTTGTCATTTATTTATACCTATGTTTATACAAATTATTTCGGTATTATAAGTATTTATTTTTTTAGTAAAATGGTGTCTTTTGAACAATCTTGAAATAATTTACGCGCAATTATAAATAACTGTAAAAGATAAAACTATTAATTCTTAAGTTGTGGTTGCCTAGTGTTCGAAATTCATAAAACTTTTAGGTTTGTATATTAGACAAGCTGTATTTCTTTTAACTGCACATTACTACATATATAAAACGCAGATATTCAATATACAAAATATAAAATTTACGCTTTTTTGTCTTGACATACACTCTACACACTATTGAAAAAGGAACACTTGAAATCACACAAAACTCACAGCTTATTCCGTCAATCTTAGAGGCGTCAGTAGCTTAATGGCAGGGCGTGGAACGCGAACTCGAAAGGTCGTGGGTTCGAATGCGCTGTCCACTGTCGAACCACTGGCGTGAACCACTTCTAACACAAGCATTTTAAGCTTACCAGAAGTGGTTTAAGTGAATATTAGTAATGTTTAATAGCATTACTAGTATTTTTTTTTAAAAAAGAAAGAGAATCTGTCAGTATTTATTTGTTGGCAACATCTTAAATTTCTTTCGTGACAATCTGTAGTCTGTGCGACTGTTTGACTACAGATTAATAAGTGTTTTAGATTAGCCTTAGAGTAATAAAATTTATAATTATGCTTGTACTTCTCTGAGACATCGGCAGTATGTACTTTCAATAAATAGTATAATTTATCCAAGCGGCAATTGTGTGTTTGACAGCAAAAGTATGAACGGAAACAAATTATATTTAATTTAATTTAATGTACTTGTAACACATATAATATAATATAAATTTTAGCTTAAAATTCGGTCTGGAGGACATTAGTATTATTACAGCAAATCAAAAGTCTATCGCTAAACATGGGCTTTCCCATAGATTGCCTCATAGCAGGATTATTTGCCATAGTTGCCATTTGTTGTGGGCAAGTCGATAATTTTTTTATTATTGAGTTGTCATCAGAAAGGTGTTGCTGCCCATCTCTTGTTACAGTTTCTCTCTGTCGTCTCTAACGACACCTCGAGGATTTTTTTTTACATAGAATCGAGTGACAAATGAGCACACAGTCCACCTGATGGTAAGTGGTTGCTGTGCCATATAGACATCTACATCTATCCTCATTTGCGAATCAAAATGCAGATGTGACTCGTGAGGACTAAGATGGAATGCCTCTTATCCAGTAAAAAGGGTCTCCGGTTCTCTACACTCACCATACGGAACACAGCAGTGTTAAGCTGCTGTTTTACGCTGGTATTCTGTGAGAGCGTGATCCTTCCCCGGTCGAGCCGACCCATTCGTGCTACAACTATACTACTAATATAGCTGTACCACGTACATGATGACACGATGATATAGGACAATGCAATAAAATTGCAATAATGCAATAAATTTAGACAGTGGTAGAGCCACGCGGCAGCTTTTGCTGTCGCACGGATGGGCCGGCTCAAACCGGGGTGGTACCACGACCTCACAGAATACCAGCGTGAAGTAGAGGTTTACCTCTGCATTTCGCTCGGTGAGTGCAGGTGGCCGGAGGCCTTTTTTACTGGAAAAGAGGCATTCCACCTTAGTCCTCACGGGTGACAACGCATCTGCATTTTGATTCGCAAACGAGGATAGATGTAGATGTCTATGGACCACAGCTACCACTTACCATCAGGTTGACTGTGTGCTCGTTTGTCACCCTATCCTATAAAAAAAAATACCATGACTATGACCCAGTATTCTCACTAGGATCATCATCGCTCATGATCAGTCCGTATTGATTGTGTTTTTTAGACTTCAACATTAATAGGTACCTTTACAAAACAATAGGGGCGGCGAATCGGAATGTACTTAGGGTGCTAAGTTTAAATCCCTTCTGTGTAGATATGCGCTAACAAGTAGTAAGTAAAATATTACTTTGGAAAGGTTTCTTGGGTTACACATAAACACACACACACAAACACTCACGCCTGTCACCCAGAGGGGTAGGCAGAGACGACGGACTTCCATTTGGCGCGATCCTAGCACACCTCTTTCGCCTCCTTTACATCCATACATCTACGCATACACACTCGTCGGTTAAGGGTACTCCTAATCTTGGGTTACCTAGTCATATTTCTTAATTACTTCAGTTCATTATTCTTACAGTATCTGCAGATATGAAAAAGTTAAGCATCACATATTTCATCCATGCATTGCAGCTTATAAAGTCTAATGCCGAACATAAATCTTCCTCGTAGATTACCTCATAGGAGGGATTTTGCCATAGTTGCCACGTTTGGCAAGCGGGTTGGCAACTCCAGTTTTTGTTATTATTTCGAGTTGTTATCAGGAAAATGCTGTTGCCTATCTCCTGTTTTAGTTTAGTTTTTAGCCGTTACTGCCATCGTGTAGTGGCAGTGTAAGAATATCCATTACCCCCTAGCATCACATATAAAGTATTTTTAAATATTAAAACGTCAAGCAAAATAAAGTTACATTCTATATACGTCCCACTGCAAAGCACTTAACTCCTTTTATTTCTTGAATTGTTTCTTAGAGGGTTGTTTGTGAAGTTAACTCTTTAAAGCATGTAATCACAATGACCTGATTGCTTATTAGGGTTCCCTTAAAGTATATATATGTCTAAATCATCCTGATGCTTTTATATTTCTCTCTACAATAGAAGAGCTTCACGGCCAGCAGTGGAGTTGTTAAAGAAGAAGAATATAAAGAATTTTATACTTTCCGCCATTTCTGGGCCACATTATCATAACTTATAGATTTTATTACCGAATCACATAAAACTTTGTTATACTATTTCGATATTGTTTTAAATTTTGAGAGAAAACATTACAAATATTTTATGCATATCTAATAACAATAATTTCTTTGACTTTTATAAATCGAATTGTGTATTTTTAAAGTATTATGTGTACGTGTTTTAAAAGAAAATGGTTCCATGAGCCAATTTTCTTAATTAGCCTCAATTTTCAAAATACCAAGTAGGTAGGTTGTTTACATAGCATATAATAATACCTTTACTTTTAAAATAATTCATTCACTGCCATTTTTTTTAGAAAAGCTTATAATAAAATATTTAATGTTTTTTTTTACTAAAAGTTTTTAATTTACCCATTTAAGTAGACTAAGTAATATTACAAGTTCAAGGTACTATAATGCAATCGTCAGTTAAATTTCATTCCCCATTTTTCCACTCCAGGGGTAGGATTTTTTTTTCAGTTATACTTTAGATCACTCCTATAGTATAACCTATATACATTAAAAAATATTTCAATCAGTTCAGCTATTTCCGAGGTCTCTATGAACGTACATAAAAAAATATGGAATCACCTTGTCTTTGAAGTCTGTTAAAAATAGCTCTTACACTTACTTAAATTCTAGAAAATACTGTTTAGCATTTAGATTCTAGAAAAAATTGAAATAATCTGAGCAGCGGAATCCCACTTTAAGCGTATCCAAGCACACACTTGTAATTTTTTTTAACTTCTTGAGATCTGGCGCAATCAAATGCGAATGAACTCATCTCTGGCCATGTGCACTGGCAGAGCGGACGTAGTCGCCGGCACGATGCATCCATTTTTTCTTTTTTAACGTTGTTAATAATGAATTAATATAAAGTCTATATAAATTGAATATACCTTTATCATAAACTCTACGTAACAATAGCCATTACAGCCCACCTAATATTAGTAAGTGGCCATTGTAGCCCATAGATACCTACGGCGAACTTTAAACAAAGGAGATTACAGATGCTTTATTATATTTGAATTTTTTGTAGAATAATGGTGATAAAGGAGCACACAGTCCACCTGAGGGTAAGTGGATGCTGTAGCCCATAACCATCTACATTTATCCTCAATTAAGTATCAAACTGCAGTTGCGTTGTCACCCCTGAGGACTGAGATGGAATTCCTCGTTTTTAATAAAAAAGGTATCCGGTTCTCTAAACTCACTGTACGAAACACAGCAGCATTAAGCTGCTATTTTATGCTGGTATTATGTGAGAGCGTGGTCCTATTCCGGACGAGCCGACTCATTCGTCAAACCGCGAATTCACTTATTATGCTCATTATCAAGGAAGCCACGTATAGTGACGGGCAACTACGGAACCTTACCTCTACATTGTGCGTGGCGCGACACGCACTTGGCTAGTTTTTTCATTATTCATAACAATCGAAGTACAGGAGATATGTAGAAGTGACTAATCATCCGGTGACAAGATGAATTAATTAATCCGGTCACTTGTTTTTTTTTTTTTAAATTAAATATATAAACTAGGTTTAGTCTACTACAACAAAGTGCAGCCGGTTGCTTTTGGATAAATTTGTTTGTATACGATTTAGTCATAGCTTAAGTAAGTGTCCACTGATTTCGATTAAACTAGGTCTAGTTAAGTCCGAATAATAATTAATATAAACTATGACTTGTTTTAACTTTATCAAAAATACGAAAGCACCTATCAAGTAATTTAGCAGACAGTAGCAGTAGCACACAGAAGGTTAAGGTTCGGCTAATCCGCGGAATTTGTATCACTTATAAATTATTTGTATTTTACCCAAAAACCTGGATAGTTCTAAGTAAGTCCAGGTAAACTAGGCTTATTATTTCTTCAAGCATGAACATTAATCCAATACACCTATGTTTAACGGTTGTCTCTATTTGGAGCCGGCTAGATCTAGTTTATATTGTTAATGGAAAATACAAAGAGCTTTATGAATAAAATAAAATAATCCCATTGATTCAAAGTCTAAAATCAGCCTTATGTAAAAACGCATAATAATATGCGTTTCATTGGCGTGTTCTTATAATGTGTGAAAATAATATTTTTAATGAAAATAATAATTTTTATATCAAATCTTACAGATATGCTACGCTATGTTGTCTATAGTTCAATTTACGAATACCTATTTATTAGGTACCGATTGCTGGAAGAAGGTAATAAGTAACGAATATCACTCAAATAGTCATATTTTTTTATTAATTTATCTTGCTAGCTTTATAAACTCGCAAGCAAATATGCACAACATACAGGAAAAGGCTTTTTCCTTTATGTTTTGTTGCCATCCTTGAAGACAGACTTTAAAGTTTTATGTTGATGCAAGAGTTACGTAGATAATTCAGAACGTATTATGATAGTTACAAAAATGAAAATAATATGTGAATTTATTAAAATAAGGTTCGTTCATTATGATTATTTTACTGTTAACATACATGTTGCATATCGTATTCAGATAAGGTAACTATAATGACTTAGGTTAGAAATCTATTAATCTACGGATTCAAAGAACACTATTACTCCTAACGGAGCAACGGAGTGACGTACGCGCGGTCTGCACAATGTTAACGGCGCTGGCGCTGGCGCCTTCTTCATTTCAGTTGTGTTTTGCAGTTGAGAGTGTGCGCGCGTATGTTTACGCACTCCATGTGCGCGTTAATATGAGCTCGTTTCCCTCGTAACCTCAGTGCTTGTGCAATAATAAATGTGCCAGCACTCCATTATGACGCAAGAGGATCCTAGTAACCGCTTTAACGATGGACTCCTTTCCAGTGGAGATAACACAGATAACGAAGACGCGGTTATAAGAAACGACAGGACAAGTGTGAAAGAAATGATATTGCGTTTCGAACGGACAGCCGTCAACAGTTTCAGCGGTTCGAGTGAATCCCTGGAGAAATCTAAATATTGTATGTTAGGAAGCTTAACAAGTGTCGTTAATCCTATACAAATGCATTTTCAACATTTGTGTCCAGTGAGTAATTCGCAAGATAGACATTCAAACGTGTCAGTGAATTCTATATTATCAAACGCTTCTGAAATCAGCTACGAATCAAGTTCGTCAGGTTTTGCATCGGACAGAAAATCATCCGAATTAAAGCCTCATAGACCCGCTCCTCCACCACCGCCAGAACCCTTTAACGATAGCTTTTCCATTAATAGTATATCTGTTTCCGAGGAACCAATGACAAAGGATATTCGGTTTTCTTTTGCAACACCTCCAAGTTCACCGATAGTTTTACGCCGTTCGAGACAACCGCCAGTAATCAGAAGAAAATCTACAATTGGAGGCCAAGGACATTTAGGTGAAACACATTGGTCTTATGGTGTGAAACAAAGTGATTTAGAAAAGTTACTGCGACTTAAAACGTCGGAAGTGTCGGACAATGAAGAAGAAACAAAAGGCGCGAGTGTGGAGTCATCGGGCAACGATAACAGTAGTGACGATTCTAGCGATAGTGACAAAATGGAATCGGGTGCAGAATACTTAGTTAATAACGACGACGGTAGAACTGATACGTTGTCAACGGATCATTCAACGGATACGTTAAAAAATGAATATGAAAGTGATGAAGGAGATAATCTGTCGGATGTTTCTGTTGCATCTGCGGATCGTTGCAATTATGACAATATCAGTATTAAATCAGTATCCTCTTTCGATATGGTTCCGTATCAGAAATACGACAGCATTACAGTATCGTCTGACGAGTACGGTTCAGAAGTATGTCATGCTCCTGACACAGAATTCCTCACTGTTAGTGCAGTGAACGAATGGTGTGTTTCAAAGTCTTCAGAACCTGTTTTGATACCAGTTGAATCTAAAAAGGAGAAATATCGAAGGTGAGCTAATTTAAATTTATTTCTACATATCCTGCAAAAGTATTTGCGATAACGCTGCGAGGTATTTTCATATATTGATAAAAGATAAAATGTCGCTTTACCTTTGGAGTGTTAGATACGGCTAATGCGCTTATCGAACATATTTTTGCTTTAACTGTAAGTTACAGATATGCGTTTACTGGAATAATGATTAATTAAAGTCATTATATTTTCAAATAAAGGAACTTTTAATTAGCCACAGTAATTAATTATAGCCTAAAATCATTATGAACAGTCGCTTTGTTATTTCGTGAAAACATTAAACTGTCAAACCAACTAAAGGTCAAGTAATTATGCAACAACAGATTGAAGTGAATCAGTACAAATTTTAAATAGCTGATACATGATAATTGCACACAGGCTCACGTAGCGGTGACGTCGTACGTGGTTTCACCTTGATGTTTATTCATATGGCTCGTGGCAGGTACGTTGTAAACACGGCCATATTGCATATAACATATATATGTGTATATAAATCCAACACAGTTTGACGGATGGTCCCAGTATTCATCAAAAGGAACGTGCATGCTCATTAAAAATTAAAGTAATAAATTAGTACGTAGTTTATATTGAAAAATCCTTATGCTGTAATCAAAACAGGTTCTATTAACATATAAAACACAACAACTTAATTCTTTAGACCCTTTCTACTGGAAATGAGGCATTCCATCTTAGTCCTCAGATGTAACAACATATTTTGATGATACATTTTGATTTGAGGTCTATGGGCCACAGCATTCACTTACTGTCCTACTTGAGTGCCCGTTTGTCACCCTTATCCTATAAAAGGAATTAAGAGTTACATTTAATAATATTAAATAAACGTTCCAACAAGAGATTGCCTCTGTGTTTGTGCAATAATATTATGTTCTGCAGAAGTTATATTTTCCGAAATTGTTTAGAAGTTGTCGCTGTGATCAGATTTCACAAGAACATTATCAATGTTAATGTTAGGATTCCTGTGTACGAGAATGTAGAATGTAAATAGTAAATATAAATTTAAGGGCAGATTTTTAGGTAAATTTTAGGTACAAGTTATCCATTACATAAATTATAACCTGACAGAATATAAAAGTCAAACAATTGAATTATTTTATTCAAACAACTGTAATTTTCAATTTGTATTTTAATCTATGGATAAGTTTTATCTGAGGGTTGTAAACTCGGTCCTGAATATGTTAACTTGGTGTCATTTTTTTAATAAAGAGATATTATAAGAGGGTTTATAATTTAAAATTACATTTTAAACAATTTTCTCGTTAAATGAAACTAGTTTCGGGTTGGTTTTTTTAATCGTCAGATAAAAGTTTTCCATGGAATAAAATACAACATAAACAAACCAAAAATTGCAGTTCCACGAACAAATTAATTCAATTGTTTCACTTTTATACTCTTTCCTGAGTTTTTTAGTTTTTAATTTTTATTTCAAAATAATATATTTTATTTTAAAATATTGCATACTATGCTTATATTGTTTAAATAAACTATGTCCGCCAAAATTGTACCTTTGATGAAAATTGCAATTGATGATTTCCTCCAATCTGTTTTGTCCATGACAATTATTTACTAATTTAAACAGAAGTTCTTAACTGCGTGTAATATATTATAATATAACTGAGGCCCGCACCATATAAAATGGTACGCGCAAAGCAATCCCTTATATATGTAGGTAAATATGCGGTAATATACCTAGTCAGGTCATAAATTCTGTCACATGTTTAATATAAAATAATTGAAACAAGTTTATTCATTATGTAACCATTTATATACCAAAATAAACTTAATAAAACATAGATTCTTATGACACTAAAGTTTATTCAAAATGACCTCCGTGATTTTGAATACAGGCCTTCAATCTGCGCGGCCAGTCGTCTATCGCAGCACGAACGAGATCCATGTCAATATCTGTGGCTGCCTTAATCAAGGACATCTTGAGTGACACCAAATTGGGATGAGGCTTTGAGCACGCCTTTTCCTCCAAGTGTTGCCATATCTTGTAATCTAACGGATTCAAATCTGGACTGGAGGAGGGCCAGTCTACGTGCCGGATGAAGTCGATTTCACACGCCGCCAGCCAGTCTTGTGTGCTCTTCGCTCTATGAGCTGGCGCCGAATCTTGTTGTAATACCCAGTGCCTGTTATTGAACATGGTATGAGAAACAGGTTCCACAAGGTTCGTCAGGACTGTATTTTGATACACAACTACATTCGTTTTTACACCTTTCTCACAAAAATGTACCTCTGTTAAGCCCCAATAAGAAACTCCCAACCATACCATGAGCGAGGATGTAAAATGACCTCGTTGGACACGCGGAATACGGTTGCTCGCTTCTTCACTACTGTGTGCGTACACCTTATCATTTTGTTTGTTGTAGCTCTCTTCTACGGTGAAATTTTTTTCATCCGTAAAAAGAATTTCCCGATATTTTTTTCCCGCGTACCGCTTCAACAAAGCGCGGCATCTCTTCAGTCTCAGGTCCATTAGACGAGCATTCAAACGATGTCCTGTTTTTCTTCGATATGCCCGAAGCCCTAAGTCTTCATTTAACACTCTTTTCACCGTGGTTCTGCTTAACCCCATCTGAAGGGCCAACAGTTTCTGCTTACGTTTGGCTTAATTTCTTTCAATTCGCGCCTTCACAGCTTTTATCACTACTGGACTCCTAACAGACCGAGGGCGACCACTTCTTGACCTGTCATCTACACTAGAGTCTTCATTGTATCGTTTGATGGTACGATAAACGAATCTTTTGGTTATATTCAAATTTTTCAGTATGTCAAAAATTTTAATTGGCGCGTAACCGCAACGATGCAACGTAATAACTGCAACACGGTCTTCTTTAAGCGTCCACTCCATATTTAAAAATGAGTAAAATTCTAAAAAGTATACAGTTTCATTTTCATGAACAATTCGAAATTCGAATTCAATAAATTTTTTTGTGGCCAGCATTCTAAAAGAAAAGTTTTTACTGTGTGACAATACTTATGACCTGACTAAGTATGTACCACCTGTATACATATTATATCATATTTTTTATCGAACTAAGTGAAAAACGAACTGACAGTCTATCTCATGGTATATGGCTACTTTAGTCCATGTATACCTGCAGCCAGCTTTAAAAAATAAGTTTCAGATGCATTGTCACCTCTGAGGACTGAGATGGAATACCTCACAACCTGTAATTGTACTTGCTGTCTATACAGTACAGGCCGTATTACATCATTACAAGCATTGCTATTTTGCGGTAGAATTGGGTAAGTGGTATTTATCCAGACGGACTCCTTGGCAGAAAAGGAGTCCTTCAACCAAGTAAATAAATATATGGATTACATACTGGTTAATATGATAAAATATTTGGTTAGAGTTGGGATGGGAGAAGGTCTTTATACCTTTTTATACTTGCACGAATTAAGACTCTAATTAGTGGTATACATATCAAAATTTCCCGTGTAGTGGTGGTGTAAAAATACCCACTACCCTATGGGGGGGGGGGGGCTATGTTCAGCAGTGGACTTGTGAAGGACTGTAATAATGATGATATCAAATAGCTCTTTGATTTACTTTTGTAGTCAACGAATGACTACAAAAGTAAATTGAAAAGACAATTTCAAAAACGCACAAAATCTATGCAGTTTTGCTATCATTAAGTTCCTTAATAAACAGAGAAATTTTCTCGGTCTCGGTCTCGGATTCGTGCTCAGGGAAAGCCATAATTTATGAAATAGTATATGTGTAACATGGATGTTAGACATTTTGTTTTGTCCATGTTCATCTTAAGACCTAAATAGGGAATATTTAGGGAAACTCTACTGAGGTTGTTGAGTTAAGTGCTAAGGTCTCTAAGGTATTCTGTAACATCGTATCCTATCGTAGATATTTATTGGTACTATACGTATCAAAAATTGATATGTATACGGCTAATTCAAGTAAAAAAATAATAAAATCTTTTACCATCCTAACTCCAACCAAGAGTTTTATCATATCCCCCATATAATCCTTATTTTTCTGCCGAATTCAAAAAGGAGACTGTACTCAATTCGACTGTATGTTTTTTAATGTGTGTTACCTCATAACTTTTTACTGGGTGAACCAATTTCGATGATTCTTTTTTAATTTGAAAGCTGGTACTTCACATGTAGTCCCATATAAATTTGATTAAGGTCTGACCAATAGTTTAGAGTTATTCTTAATAATTTATATTGAAGTCGGTTGTACAAAATTTTAAATTTTAAATTATTTACTAGGTAAAAGGACCTAATTTCTGTCTAGAAGTTTGCCTGTGTAGATACAACCCTCTTACGCGTATCTATTTATGATTTTTCTTGAAAGTAGTCGGGAAAAGACCTAAAACGAATCTGTTGTTGAAATTATTTAATTTATGACCTTGCAAAATGTACAATAATTGCTATATTAGCGTTACTAAAACTCAGTAATAACGAATGAACGTGTTTAATTGAACGTTTAATTTCCGTAAAACAATAAACGATTCCGGGTATATTTTCTTTTTATTCTTCTGAACGTCTCGGAGGTTTGCTTCCATGTAAATACCAAGTATTTTATATTGTTTATTGTAAGTCACAGTAATAAGATTCATATTATGTACAAATTATACATTCTTTAATCAAGTTCTTGGTTCGTTTATTAAGTTTTTAATAGGTCTCTTGTTATTTATATGAGCCATTTGTAATAAACATTATATTGCATACCTACTATCAATAACTTACGGTAGCCCACATATGTATATAGCCGGATCTTCGGCATCAGGCAATCAGTTGCTGCCAGTCACATTACGTATCAACGATCTCGTTGCGCCATGTAGCTAAGGGACGACCCATATTTGTCTAAGCGCGATCTCCACTGTATGTCATGTTTGTCGTCGTATATATTTGATTTCTAATTTAGGTACGTGGTGGCTCAGGGTCACAGCATTCACCGTAAATTTCACAGTACTCGAGAAAGC